CACACACACACCACACACATACCGCTCACACACACACCACACACACACACACACACACACGCACACGCACACACACCACACACACACCACACACACACACACACACACACACACACACACACACACACATACCAGCAAGGGGCCAGTACCTAGGCCTGGCAGGAAATGGCTCTGGGAAGCTGGACACCCCACCTTTGGCATGAAACCATGTTTTGTTGCTGTTCATTCACAGCAACAGGGAATGGGGGTGGGGCGCTTCGATCTGAAGAGCAGGTGTGGGGACAGTTTAGGGACTCACCACTGCCTCTGAAGGGCTTGGGGGACACAGATGTACCCCCAGGGGTCTCACCACACCAAGAGTCACCACATGGAATGCCAGGGTTCCCTCTTCTCTGTGAGCTGTGGGCAGTGGGAAGGCTGACCTCCGAGATGGCCTTCAGTCCTGCCCCTGGAGTCTCAGCCAAGATCAGAGCCTAGAAGGTTCCACACCAGGAAGGGCTGATCAGCCGCAGCATAGCCACCCTCCCAGCTGCCCCGGGAGCCTTAGGGAACCTTTGAACTAAAACGTGGCTTCTAAGCTAAGCATGTTATACTCCCAGCCCTTAGTGGGCTGAGGTAGGAGGGTTGCTGGCTGCAGGCGGAGGCCCTGTCTCAAACCATGAAAACAAAACCCCACAGGTTCTGGCTGACCCTGGGCCCCCAGGATGCCGTGAAGTGCAGGGAAGGGAGCTGAAGGGCCCTGTGAGTGTTGGGGTGGTCATGTGGGGCCCCACGTGCACAAGTGGCCAGCTGCTGTAGGTGGGACATGGGAAAAGCCACCAAGTTTTGCTGACCAGAGAGAACAGTGTGTGACCTTAACCATGATACAAAACTGGGGGGTGGGGGCAGGGTTTGTGGGGGACTGCCAGGTACTGGGCTACAAAACAGTTGCCTAAAAGATCAGGCTTGTCTTGTGGGTGTTCTGGGGACCGAGCCTGAAAGGAAGGTGTGGGCAGAGCTGGCTGCTCTTGGAGGCTCTGAGGGGTGCACCTTGGGGTGGTGGCCAGGAATTCTTGGCCTGTGGTGGTATGACTCCTAATTCTCTTCTGTTTCATCTGGCTTTGTTTGTGTGTGTGTGTGCGCGTGCGTGTGTGTGTGTGTGTGTGTGTGTGTGTGTGTGTGTGTGTCTGTATCTGTGTCTGTGTGTCTGTGTCTAAGTTACCCTCTCCTTTCTCTGGTTGTTAGATCAGGCTCACCCACTCTGCTACACCCTCATTTTAGCTCCATGATATCTATAGACACCCCATTTCCAAATAAGGTCACAGTCACAGGCCCTGGGGTTTCAAGCCTGAACTCCTGGTACCTTTTGGAGGGGTCACGGCTCCCCCTACTGCAGAGATTCAGTCCTAAGAGAGGATTGTTGGGCTGGTGGGGGTCCAGGAAGGACGCTCTGTGGTTCCAGAGCTGGAGAGTGTCAGGGATGAGGCTACTGGGTCATGTGATGAGGTGGCTGCAGAAACAGAGGGTGCTGAAGGACACTATTGCCACAAGACTGGAAGACTGTCGGGTAAAGAGTGGGCCTTTGAACTCCCCCAGGCACCAAAGCAGTCCTATGGAATGTTCTAGAAAGTGTGAAAACGTGATTTTTCTCATTTTTACTTAACATCAGTGGAATAGGTTGTTTCATGAAGTCGTGAGTTGCTGGTGTCTTGAGGTGTCAAGGAAGGGCTGTGGCCACTGTGGATGGCTGTGGCCACTGTGGATGGCTGAGGAGGCTGAGGAGGCCGAGGAGGCTGAGGAGGCTGAGGAGGCTGAGGAGGCCGAGGAGGCGGGACCTCGGAGCAGCTCTCATTACAGTGGGGCTCTTGGCTTCTAAGGGTTTGAGTCACCAAGTGTCCCCACACCGAAGGATCTGCGTGCAGTGGGGCTCCCCGCCAGGTCCTCAGGGGTCATCAGGCTCTGTCCTGTTATCCGTCTCCTTGCTCTTTCCTTTCAAATGCCTGGGTGACAGGAAGCCTGCTGCCCTGGTTCCTATGGAAACAGAACCTCAGCTCCATTCAGTCTGAGGCCAGACTGGGAAATTTAATACCTCTAACAAGTTCTGGAAGGTGTGAGCAGATGGTTAACACGCGTAAGAGCAGACTGGTGTGTGACTTGTGCACATACGTGTGCTCTCACAATCATGAGACTAGTGACCGAGCTCTTCCAACTGAGGTCCCCCAACCTCTGGGCCAACACCCTTCTCAGCACTTTACAGACATGAACGCCCTTTCATTTCATGATGCACCTTTGAAGGAGATGGCATCCACCTCATTTTATAGATGAGAAATCAAAAGCACTAAGGAGCCCAAGGCCTGTCCTCCTGTCTGTCCCTCATCCCACAGTTGATATCTTCTCTTTGGTGTGAAGCTAGGCATCGAGGAAAGTTCTAGAAACCTTGGCCCTTTGTTTTGAACTCAGTGTCTAGGACATTAGTTTCCCCGAAGCTTCTGCTGGGCTTGGAGCCCCTTTCTAGCAGGAGCCTGAATGATCCTGTACATGGCGGTTGGGTTCATGCCCACCTCTCCAGCCCTGGCTGCGGTCACACCACGCTGCTCATGGCCTATGGGCTGGCTGGGGAGGTGCGGCTCTCTGCAGCTGACAGGGGAGGAAGCGCTTCCTCTTGAGCAGGTCATTTCTCCTCCCTGGTTGTCTTGGGAAGAGCAGGTGAGGGGTCTGCTGCCTCTGGCTGCCTTTCCTGTGCCCCTCACCATGAGTGGACAAACCGTGGAGAGATCATGTCTGCTACAGGAAAGGTCTCATATCTCCTTGATACATAGTAGTCAGGGACATTGATCGCGGTCCTTTGTGCCAACCGCCTGCTGCCAACCCAGGCTGGCACCCCGCTGGTGGCATTGCACTGAGATGTGGGCAGAGGGTCAACAGGAAGTGGTATTTACAGATGTGGAATCACATGTGGGCTCCATAGTCTGACAGTGGCCAAGATGCCCACCCTTCTTCTGAGCACCTCCAAATGCCAGCTTCTTACACAAGGCCAGGAAGGGGTTGAGACAGAGTTTCACGGTTTAACTTAATTTCTCTTTCTCTTTCTTTCTTTCTTTCTTTCTTTCTTTCTTTCTTTCTTTCTTTCTTTCTTTCTTTCTTTCTTTCTTTCTTTCTTTCTTT